TGTAGTGGCTGCTGTGTCCTTCGTGATGAAGATGCCGCACCCAGGGACCACCACTCCTCCGATCTCTACTGTAGCGACGATATATCCAATGTAAGGGATGTCCAAACCGTTAGCTCCTCGCAGCTGCAGTAATCTTGTTTCAGGGTGTAGGTCTCCTAGGGTTGGCTGTAGCTTTTCTCTGTAGAACGACTCGGTGATGAGGGTAACCATGGAGCCCGTATCCACCAAGCTTTTCACAGGTACTCCGCCAATCCTCGCCACCACTGTGGGACTTGTCCCGACAAACTTTTCATTCTGAAAAAGAGAATTAGAGCCACTACAGTTCCTCTCCACGGCGTGGCTCACTGCTGTGGAGAGCTGGAGTTTGACTCCTTCTGTGGTGCTGCTGGTGCCTTGTCTTTCAGGGGCTTTGGGCAGTTCGGCCGAAGATGTCCAAGCTCGTGGCAGTTGTAACATCTCCTCGGACCACGTGGGGGACTTCGTGGTGGGGATGGGCTTGCTAACTTCATGGTAAGTTGGGTTAGCAGCTTCTGCTGCTCATCCAGCAATTTTTGTTGCTGCATGAGCCTCTCCACCAGGGCCTTCTGTCCTGCTGTAAGCTCTTGGATGGCATTTACTTGGTTGCTCTCCACCAACACCTCCTTGGCCGCTGCATGGCGATGTGCTCCTCTATCTGTGTCTTCCGAGCTACGATAGGCCTCTTGCCTCACCTCGTTGAAGGTCTTCTCGGGATGTTCTCTGATATAGCGTTTGAGATCCCTGCGCAACAGGTTGTCACGCAAGTTCTCAACGAATGTGTCTCTGAGGTTCTGGTCCTTGTTTTCCAGGGCTCCTACGTGTACTCTGGTTATGTGCTCCGCCATTGACATCAGGGCATGGGCAAAGTCCTGGATGGGCTCCCTGTCACCTTGTTTTCTGGCGAAAAACCTCTGGAGAAGCTGGGTCTTGGTGAGCTTCTCCCCGAAGACGTCTCTTAGAATCCTGAAGAAACCATCCGGGTCTGTCCAGTCATCCACAGGCCTTAGTCGAACTTCATCTCGAGCCGCACCTTCTAAGCTATGGTACAGGAAATCCACCGCCTCTTGACCAGTTAACTTCTGGGCAGCCACAGACCTCTGTGCATCCGCTATCCAGTCTTCAAGCAC